ATAGAAGAGATAGAAGAAAAGGAAGAAAAAAAGAAGAGGGGAATAAAGGGTTTGTAATCAAGAAAAGGGAAGGGGAAAAAAAGAGATGAAGAAAAAGTAAACAACTCAAAAAGTTTTTTAAAAAGGAAATTTTCAAGCGTAAAAGGGAGAGTGGGAAAGAGTTTTTTAAAAAAGTAATACCAAACTATCTTTTTATACCTTTCTAACAAATAACAATATAAAATTTATAAAGATCTGCAAAAATACTATTTTTTTAAATTACATTAATGGTTTTTATTTTATAGTAACAAATCAAAAACTTTTAGCTCTTTGTAGTTGCAATATACAATTCTATTTAATTATAAAGATATTAGAAATCTAAAACCAATCTGGATAGTCAAAAGACTTAACTCTTTCTTCTTATTTAACAATATTATAGAATCAAAAGAATTTTTTATTTCTTCTTCATTAAATAATCCTTAAATAATAATATTATTACTTATAGAAAATTCAAAAGTTTTTATTGATTTATAAATTTTTCAATCAAAATTATATTTTAATTCACTATTCTGACCCTTCTTTCTGCTATAATTTCTTTTTTAACTTATAAACTTTTTTTTAATCAAAACAAACTAACTAATATTGTATTTAAATTTTATTTATAAAATTTATTTATATCTTTTCAAAATAAAATAAATTATTAAGAAGACATTAGTCTTCCAAGATTAGATAGTTCCTTTTTTTTTTTTGTTTAAGGGTTTTTTATCAGAACTATATTTAATATGGTGATAGGCTGATATATAGTATATAGCAATATATCTTAACATTTAAAATTAATCACATAATATTCTTACTCTATTAATAAAAATTATAAAAAATGTCTTACTTAAAATTTTAAAAAAATTATTTATATATTCTTTATTCAAATAATTAAATTAACAAAAATTTTAATAATAAGTTGTAAAAAATTAAAAAAATAAAATTTTTCAACACTTATTTCAGATAGATAATTTTCTTATTGTTGTTATTTTTATTTTTATTAAACTTTCAATAAAGCTAATATATTAATAGCAATAACAAAAACATTAATTAATTAATTAATTATTATATTAATCACCAATTATCAGAAGGATGGATTTTTTCAACATTTATATTAGACAAAAAATCTTTTTTTTATTTTTAACTACTCAACATTATTTAATTATAAATATAATATATTGTTTTAAAATATTTTTTAATATATTGACTAAATAGTTATAATAGATAGATTAGCATTTAACTTATTTTATACTTTGTACTTAAGAGATATTGTTTGTTTCTTAAATATACTGCATATCTTATTATATACAAAATAAATAAAAAATAATGATTTTTTACTTTATCAATAATAATAATAGTAATAATAATTAAAAAATATAAATTGTTATATTTTTGAATTTTTATAATTTATTAGTTACATGATATGTAGATTTTGAAATATGAGGTAATAATTTTGCTCTAAAAATTTTTGATTCACCTTCAAAAACGATTTCTTATATAGAATATCTTATCTATATTTATACTTTAAATAAAATTGCAAAATTTTACAAGTCCAAAAATTTCAAAGATCTCGACGATTTATAATTGAGTAGTGACATACAGTAACTCAAGTCATGCTTCTATTTTCCTACCACTAACAATATACAGTATATTATTATTATTTAATAAAACAATTATTTTCAAACATACGAACAATAATTTCAGTAATCTTAAATTGCTTTACTAAATGCAATGTTTGCCTAATTATATTTTAAAATAAGATTAATCAACATGGTTATTTATATAAAATAGCTAAATTCGGATAAATCGTCTAAAATAATTTCAAGGATTTAAATCAAAATAAATGTCAACTACTGTAAATTGATACATTTATTAAAAACATGCCACAACATGTAAAAAGCATTTACAATATGAAGTAATGAAGGATCATACAAAAATATAATATACTGTATACTGTATATTCAAAAAATCAAACAAATAGAAAATAAATAAGATACAATAGGGAGTCGGCTGCTATTGACAAATAATCACTATGTAATGTTAAAAGAGATGGGTTGACCTGGCATAAGATAAGTGTCAATGTTAGAAAGTATATGTTGTTTTATAGTAAATAACAGGATAACCAGTTTAAAAATAATTTTTGTTGTGCAAAAAGGCTTGATCTTCTCTAGTATACTTTTTATGCTGTGCTTCTAAATTTCCTTGCAATATACATAATTAAAATTTGTATATATACTGTAGGTGTTTCATACTTTGGAAGTCCTGTATATTGATAACAGGTGTATTTATAAAAAATATATAGTACAGTTTTACACAAGTGCTTTTAACAATGTAATATCCATCACGAATTTCTATCGAAAACTGTATACTGGTCGTTAACGTGCCTTATAAAATAAAACCAATGGACTGACGCTGCATGGCTCGGATCTAATGTGATGAAAACCGAAACTTTTAATTTATTAAATATTAAATCTACAATCTACTTTTTCCCTAAAGCCTCGTCAACCACGAGGTCGGGCTCGATGCTAGAAACAAAGGGAAGCCCGGTTTCAACAACCTCATCACTCAGGCTTGGCGGATATATTAAGTGTTTGCCAACTCCCCAAGTATCGCTCACATTTTCACCCATCCACAATTCTAATTTTCCACCGTTACCAATATCAGAATGTCTAAACCATGTTTTTTC